GACTCAAGCTGCATCAGGGAAGGTTTAGATTGGATATTAGGGAAAATTTCTTCAGAGAAAGGGTAGTCAAGCGTTTGAACAGGCTGCCCAGAGAGGTGGTGGAGTCACCATCCCTGGAGGTGTTCATAAAACGGGTAGGCGTGGCACTTTGGGACATGGTTTAGTGGGCGTGGTGGTGTTGGATTGATGGTTGGACTGATGATCTTAGAGATCCTTTCCAACCTTAATGATTCCTAGTTTTTACTTTCTTTAAAAAATAATCCAGCCACCAAGCCAGGAAACATGAAATTATTCCTCTACCTTTAATTGGTTTAGTGGTGGACTTGGTAGTGTTAGGTTAATGGTTGGACTGGATGATCTTAAAGGTCTTTTCCAACCTAAACGGTTCTATGATTCTATAAGACTTCCTCTATGTAGATACCAGGATGCCTAGGTTTCATCTAGAAACTTAGATATGATTTCTGGAAATTAGAGTGATGAGATGGGGCAACGATCTTTCAGTTCTCGTATGTGGTAGCGAGACAGCATGGATGCTTATAATGGCGTGGCAGCTCTGCCTTGCCTTATGTAACAGGGAGAAACAGATGTTTCAGCCCTGTTATGGAGACAAGCAGAGTCAATGTGGGACAGTCTCCTTTTTTTAAAGTGCAGTTTCATTACTCCCAACATGGAAAGCAAATATTTCCCAGGAACAGAAGAGCTCCTGGTGAACTGAAGCAGTCACCTCCCCAGGGCTTCTCTTCCCTCCCTTCCCGTAACCCCCATAATTGGAAAAGAGGATCCCTGGTTGACAGGGCTTGGTGGATCATCTTCAGCTGTTCAAAGAATTGTGTGCCCCCTAAAATCAGCGCAGGGTTCCTCATGCCAACTGACAGGCATGTCACGTGGCTGCCTGGAGTGTAATTGCTGCCTGTCACAGGGCTGTTTCTCTTTCTACAGTGCTCAGTCAGCATTCCCGGGTCTTGGAACAAATCTACAGAAGTGATCAAAAAGGTACAGCTCATGTTGGTCAAACATTTAGGGGCTTAATATTTTCAGTATTTTTTTCCCAACTGTGGTTGATTGGCTGATCTGATTTTAAAAAATACTATTTCTGTAACCCCTCTCTCAACCATATTACGTGCAAATATGCTCTGTTCTGAGAATATCAGAGAGATTAGGAGCAATTTCTCTCTATGGTCATATACTGCTATGGTCATATACAGTCACATCTTGGCATGTCAATGTTAGCATTTATTTACATCGGGAGTACACTTTTGTAGTGAATTTTCCAATTATTCCCATTTACTGCACTTGGTTTGCGTTGCGGAGTGGTCTTGGAGCACGCAAATTGGTTTCCTCATGGATGAAGCAAAGCAGGGAAATGTGCTCCAGGAATGCATCTCCTGATATCCAGCCGTTGATGGGTGATCAGTTCACCCGACTGGGTTAGAGAGAGTCTAAAGGGAAACTACCACGTCGTGGATGGTGTTGATGTGAAGCTGTCAACACCAACTCTTTTACTCTGCTGATGCAGAGCCCCCTGCAGAGCAGCATTTGCTGTTATGTCCATCACTTACCAAACCGTAGTTTACAAAATTTAGTGAAGAATAACCCTATGTTCTTCAACAGCATTGAAGAATGATTTCCTTAAAGGAATGATTAAAATAGGAAAAACTCATGCATTCTAGGTCTGCAGTTTAATCTTTTCTGTTTATATGTGTGCTTTATGACTGCCTGTTGAAATAGCTTTCTTAATTAGGAAGAGATATTTTTTAAAAATGAAATTCTTAAACATTTTTTTATCCTTGGTAGCAGTATAAAGTCTGGGGACACTTGATTCCTGGTCCCAACTAAACTCAACTTTGAAAGTGGTGTCAGCAGAAGTGATTGCTGGGGTCACCAGGGTAGCACCTGTGTATGGATAAATTAATTTGAAACTCTTTGAAGGGGTTTTAATGGAATGCAGATACTCCAGCATACTGGTACAGTGTGTTCATTTTACTATGCCATCATTTTTCAAATTGCAGTGGCTTAGCAGAAGGATCTGTAAAAGTCACCTGAGAAGATCAATTCTTACCACACACCTTCTGGTTTCCTTAAAAGTTGCAACTACAGAGCTGCACAGGATCACACTGGCTGTACTGCCAAGTCTGTTCTTATTTAAATCAATGGCAATGATCCTCTTGGCTGCCAAGGGAACAAAAATGTTGCACTGGCACTGCAGTATCCTTTTGCACCTGAGCCTGCCAACCTACAGCATCAGCTCAAAGTGACCAGTGAATTTTGAAAAAAAAAACCCAGATATCTGTCATGAGCAAATTGTGAGTCTCAACGGCTGGTAGTCTTTGTGTAAATACTGTGAATCTGTTGCCATGCTGCGTCACAGCAGGATTATTTTATGAAGAAACTCTGACTCCATTTCCTGGAGATAAGAGCAGGTTATCATTGCAAGAGATTGTTAACCCTGTTTGGATACACAGCAGTTTAATGTATTAACATTAGTGGGTGATGTGAATTGAGTCTATGATTTTGTCTAGAAAGTAAACCAAGTTTAGCATACTTCTACTTTGCCTAGAATAGAATTTTTTTTTTAATACTAAGATATCCTGACAAACAGACACAATCAGCTGACATGTATGATTTTTCATATAGCTGTTTTCCTTCATCATTTGACTCCTTTTGAGATAGTTCTGTTACACTGGCTCATTCATTACTATATTTCATTTCTGTGAAACATACATTATTACAATTGTATTCCAGCGTAAGTGGGACTATTTTTAAGACCGAATGTGTTTAACTGTAGATCAATAGACTGTAAAATATTAATGGAAACCACTCATCCACAGACTTAACCTTCCTGAAAGAAGCTGGCAGTACGGTTGCTATGGATTACTTATGACCATAACTCCAAAAAATGTGCTAAATTTTCTAGCAACAGAATAAAGTTCCTGTTCTCAAGCTTTTTTATGCTTGAGTCATCAAGAAAATAACACAGTAAAGCTTTTTGATTTGAGATCAATAATAAAATCACAAACAATTTCAATCTTGTGTAAACCCTAGCTGACTTCAGAGGAGAGACAGAAATAAAGTATTTGCCAATATTATCACTCTTACAAGATATTTTGTAGGAATACTGATTGGACTTTCTAGGCTGAGACTAAGAATAGGCTCATTTTGTGACTTCTCATTAGAAAAAAATTGTCATTTTTTTAACATGTTAGTATCTTTATCATGAACTGCTCCCACTTCTTATTGTCATGCACTGTAAGTCTTATCTGTGGGGTTGAGCAAAGAGCAAAGGTAGCCTCATTTTGGATTGAAACCCAGAGATAAAACAGCAAGGAGACTTCTGAAAGGCTTCACTTGATTGTAATCTAATTATAGGGATATTTAACTGTTACTACTCACAAGCATGACTGCTGCATCAGAAATTGTTGGTTTGCTCTTGTGCTTGGGTGGGTGGGCAATTATTGGAGCTACCTTGCCGAATAATTACTGGAAAGTCTCCACTGTACATGGTAGCGTGATCACAACATCTACGTTGTTTGAAAACCTGTGGAGGAGCTGTGCAGAAGACAGCACTGGAGTATCCAACTGCAGAGAATTTGACTCTATGCTTGCACTGCCTGGTATGTGACTTTGCGCAGTCTTGTTTATATTGCTTAAAAATTTGTTGGAAAAAAGTAGTAAAGCTTTTGTTTTGGTAATTTGGTAGTACTGGAAAATAACTGGCCAAGAAGGACTTTGTGGGTTGAAGTAATAAAAATCTCTTGAGCAGCAGAATGTGTCAAGCACATTAGGAAAGGCTATAAAATAAGGCAAATGAAGTTGCTCATCAAGCATTTATTTTAATAGGCATTTTAAATATGGTGTAGTTTCTTTCCTAGCATCTTGTGGGAGGAATTAGTAGGAGACGTTTTTTAACATATCTTATGACAGTTGCATGTTTATTTGGAATTATTGCATAGGCCTTCTTTTGCAATACTTGATAGCCAATGTACTGTAGCTGGAGTTTTTTCATATAATAGATAAGAAATACTATTTTTAGCTAAGAAGTGGTAGTGGGTTTTGCATGTTGAGACTGAAAATTGTAGATAATGCAAGAAATACAATGAGTATATGTTATACATATTATAACATATTATAAGTTATACAATGAGTATATGTTATAAATTAATATACTTGTCAGGACTTGTAAACTAATGTCTTGTTAGATGTGGTTCTAAATATAGGGAAATTTAGATCTGCTGGCTCCTGTACTCTCTATCAGTCTTCAGCAGAATTGTGGATTGCCCTCAAATACTCAACTACGACAATATTCTGTCGATAGTAAGCATGTTTATGGACAGTAAAGCTAGTTTTTATTAATCTTGAATAATTTAGTATGTAGATACTTATCCCAGAATAAAAATGCCTTCCTACTTAGTTGAATCTACACTGGGAGGTGATTAAACTAAATAGGTAGAAGGATACTCCTAATCTGAAGAATGTGTAATATAGTGGGAAGGAGGTATTAAATTCACTTTCTCTCTCAGTCTGAAATAAGCTGATGTTGTTGACCAGCTCTGACACTAGCGTAGCAATTCTCTGAAACTGTCTGTGTCCAGTATTTAGGGAATAATCTGTTCTTTTCATCTTTCAGTGTTATCTAACAATTGGTTTTAAAATGCATGTATGTATTAAGAGGAACATCACCTTATTTAAGCTTCTCAGCCTCAGCAATAGCAGGATCATGTCCATTGGACATTGTCCTCTGCAGAGTGCTTATGTGAGCGTGCATTTGGTTCATGTATAAACCACTTCAAGGGTTGGTTCATAACTTACTGCCACTGACTCCAGGCAGCATCTTGGCATTGATGTATTTACACATGGTGTTGCCTCTGAAAGTGTCATAGAGCTCCCATGTATGCAGATGTGGGCAATGGGGCCGCATCAGGTCAGCATCTTAGAGCTGCTGAGAAAAAAGTGGTTTTAAAGAAATTGGGGGGGGGGGGGGGCAA